GGGGGGGGGAGAAAATTTTAAAGGGATCTCTGAAGGTAAAAATGCTAGCAGCTAGGGCCTCCTGCATGAGTCCACGAGGCCAGGCCGAGTCCTGGGGACGGTTACAACTCAGCACCAGGAGCCTGTGGCCCTCACTTCCTGCCTGTGCGTTTCCCTGGTATTTTATATATGATACTGGCCTCAGGCATGAATCTGGACCCTTGGATAATGTATTGTTCTTTGCTGAAAATCAAGATGTAACCAAACCTCCCCACTCCCATTCCCACCACAAGGACCACTCCCCAACCCCGCCCTGGGCAAATATTGATCACACACACTCAGGCCAAACATAGGGAACAAACAGGCAGAAAGCCCTGACCTCTGACCCCTGTGTGGGCAGGAACATGGTGTCCTATACAGGCGAAAGAACTGACTTTGTTGTCAATAATAACATATTTCATAGCAATTTATATTATTTTTACATACTACTTTACATATTTTTATGTTATATATTATAAATATATACTATCTATTCTATTTGCACACATGTTGTTACATTATTTTCACATATACAGTGCTGGAACATAGTAAGCATTCATAAAATACAAGTTAACGGAGTCCCTTTAAAGACATTTTGGCAAAATACTAAAATCAGTCAAGGCGTACCCATAATAACAGATAATGAACTGAGTCTGAGAAATGAAGATTCACACTAAAGCACAGTGAGTTTGGGAAGATCTTGTTCTGGTATAAAAAGGGAAAATACACTGGTCCAGCCATTGTTATTTGCATATCACGTGGTCTCCATGAAAACCCTCTAACCTTTCTCCCGGCAAAAAAAGAAATTCCCTGATAATATCATACTTCATTGTTAAACACTATGATGCTTTACATAAAAGTCATTCCGTGTTTAACTCCTTGCCATTATTTATATAGTCTCAGAATAAGTAAAATCCCCTCTTGCTGAAAATTCTATGAAAGTCAGTGTTTAATCCACAGTGAGGATTTCCTGGCGTTTTAAAATTAACAACAATCTGATAGAACTCTTTAAATTAATGCCTCACACCTTGGTAGAATGCTGTCACTTACAACCTTCTTTCATACACAGTATCTCATCTGCTCCCCAAAGCAGCCCTATCAGATATATAGTTAAGTAATATTATTACCGTCCATAGAACTAACCCCAAATGATAATTACATTGTTTGTTTTTTAGTTGTGCACTGGCAGCTCACTAACTAGAATGCAATCTCCCTAGAGGGTAAAGGAGTTGTCTTCCTGTTCCCAGTTGAATCCAGAGCCTAGCATTGTGTCTGGGGCATAGTGAATGTTCTAGGGAAATTTACTAAATGAATAAAGGCCCTTGTCTGCTTTAAGCCCTTTTTGGTATAAAGCACATAATGGAACCATGTCCCAGATACCCCATTTAGAGTTCAGTGGTCTGGTCTCTGTCAAAAGGAGATTGTATGAAAATTCTCTAAAAGCAACAGAGCTTACACTGGATAATACTAAGAATAAAAGTGCAGTGTCCTTGGAAACATGAGAATATTAATGCACATCAAATGTAAAACTCCCATAGTTTCAAAGTTTCCACTAAGAAGCTTAAACATCTTTAACTAGCTTTGGTATACTGAGTATTTGCCTAATACAGTATTTCAGAAATTGGAGTAAAGAGAAAGTGGGGCCACAGTTCAGAGACAACCATTTCGCGGGCATAATATGCTTCCAACTGAACTACAAACCCTTACTTTTGATTACGATGACACTTTTACAGGTAATTCAGTCTGACAGATGTGGCATTATCTCTTAACTTTTCAAGGCCAACAGGAAAAAAAGACAACTCATTGAGAATGAAATATATAAATGTTTAATATTAAGAAGCAGTCACAAATCATAACAGACAAGAACTCTTTGATCTGAGAGGCCAAAACCTAACTTCTTACACAACAGGCTAAGTTATAAATTATAATCACTCACTAATTACAGTGAAATTCCGGCCTTTGCCCGCATCAGTCAATAGATGCCCCAAGGTTACCCCTTAGAAATGCCAGTTTTAGCTCGAAATAGCCCATCCCCTGAAGTTTCCTAAAAAATAGAGAGTTTTTTTCCTGGGTTTTTAAGGCTTCTCCCCACCCCTCCCCTTCCCTCCCTCAAAAAAAGAAAAAGACAAGAAACTAGGGGGGGGCTGAGATCAGCAGGGAAGCCTGAGCCTGGGCCTGACGGGGTTCCACGGGGGCCGCCCTCCGGTCTGGGAGGCGAGGGCGCGCCTCTGTCCAGCGTCAAGGCCGTCCACCCTGGCCCCCGCCTCCGGACCCCCGTCCGCACCTGCCCTTGAGCAGCACCCAAGCCTGCAGGCTGCTGAATTCCAACGTGATTTGCAATCGGCCTGAAAACGAATAACTGACTGCAGGCCCCACAGCAAACTTGGTGATTCCTGAAAACCCACAACAGGAAGCGTAACTATCTCCCACCCTCCCCAGCCATTCAT